TTTCGACTTGCACTAAGTACTCATGAAATTTGTTGCAACATTTCATGATTATACCCCATTGAAACGAGATAGACACTTATGTTCTTGAGTGATCATTCTGCAGTGAGCAATAATTTTCAAAAATTTCTCCCAAAAAATGAGCATGAGATTGTGAATTCCCAACAATTGGGTCTTTAGTAATGTGACACCAAGTTCTATAAATTGCCATATCTTCATTAATGCTAAATGATTTTCCTCTCATTGTTTTTTATGAACCTTCTATAGTGATTGTGTGAAAAATAAAAAATAAAAAATAAAAAATAAAAAATAAAAATATAATTTAAGATGTTTTGCTGTGAACTCAAATTGAATTAAGGTGTTTGTATTTATACCACTACAAAAACATGACCCTTTTTTATAACTGTTTAATTTATAGCTGTTGGTGTCTTATATGTTTGAAAAAATAGCCTCTTTTTTTTTTTTTTTTTTTTTACAAGATTGAAATAGAGCCGTTGGGCTTATGTTTAGCATTCCAAGACACATCTCACCGTTGGATCTTTACATAATCTGTGAGATTTAGTTTAGATTTCTTTCAATTTGTTGAAATTGTTTAATTGCTTGTTGAGATTTATTGAAATTGTTTTGCTGAATCTGGGATTTGTTGAAATTGTTTGAGATTTTGTTGAGATCTATTGATTGTTGTTGACTGATTTTATAAAAAAAAAACTTTGCTGAATTTGGGTAAATTAAAAAAAAATATATTTGTAAATTTTTTTGGTGAATTCTGATAAAAAAAAAATAAAAATGGTGAAACAAGTTTGTGTCAAATTTGTTTTGTTGGGAGGGAGGGAGGGAGGGAGGGATGGAAATGGCTGGTTTTGGCTGAGTTGTCACAATTAGCAGCTGCCAAAGCTTGTGACAAATCATTGGAGATACTCTAAGTAAACCCCACCAAGACTTAACAATACTTTTCAATCCAATATGAATTAGAGAGAAATAGCTCTCTTTGGCCATATTTGTTTGGCTCTATATAAGATGGAGGAGATTAAGAGTACGATGGGATTGAGTGAATAGATTATTAGTGTGGTGGCATTAGGTTAGAGATGTAAGGTAAAAAGTGTTTATTTGTATACCACCGGATTAATACTACTATAGATAGTATTAATATATAAAATTAATATTTTTTAATTTTTAGTATTTTTTTAATATTATAAATATATATATATATTTATTTTAAAAAATATAAATTTTGCTTAAAAATTATTCAAAAATTCATTTATTCTCTCACTCAATTTCTAATTCTAACGCCTCTATGGGATTTGTAATCCTACCAATGAGGGGATTACTAGCTCAAAATGAATAGCTAATCCTCTCACTTGTCTCTCTAACTAAATACTTTTTAGGTAGATTGTACATGGGGGTGTTTGGCAAGAGTTTTTTTTTTGGCTTTTTAGACTAAAATCTACAAAAAGACAAAATATCATATCAAACCCATAATCATTTCACTTTTTTTCTCACAAAAATCACATCTAACTACAAAAAATCTAACTATCTTCCCAAACACAAAAATTTTAGCTTACTAAAATAACCAAAAACTAAAATAGCCTATTAAAATAGCAACTTTCCAAACACCTACATACTATTAACTCGGGGAAAGTTTTGGCATCTGAAATTAAAAGTCAACTTTTTAATTTTTATGATTTTTTTGAAATTATAGCACCTTTTTATTTATATATATATATATATATATTTTTTTTTAAAAAATATTTTTAAAAATTAAAAAAATTAATTTTTAACTTAGGTTTCGTTTGACAAGTGCTGATTTTAGTCATAAAGTCACTAAAAAAATCAAAAAGCCAACAACCTATACTAAAAAGTCAAAGATTCTCTTTTCTCTCTACTTTTTGCACATCTTTTCGTAAAAAACTAAAAAGTCATCCCAAGCATACTCCCTCTGTCCCAAAATAATGGTCTCTTTTGGGGAATCTAACTTTTTTTTAATAGTACAATTATTGTACTTTTAAAAAAGTTAATTTTTTAAAATTACCCTTTGATAATACATTTTTTGAGAAATATTAATGCCATAATTGTACTTTTTATGTTATTAATGAATTTAAAAGAAGGGTAAAATAGGAAATTTATATTATTTTTGTACTTGATTTTTGAAAATGAACTAATATTTTGGGACAATAAAAAATGAAATAAGGGACTAATATTTTGAGACGAAGAGAGTACAATTTTTTTTATATTATATTTTAATTAAAAAATTAAAAAATTACTAAAAATTCCTGTTCCAAACCTTAATTCTTAAATCTTTCTCGCAAAAAAAAGCCAAACAAACATGGCGTTTATTTGTTTAGTTGGTGGTGGTGGCGTATGCGAGGAGGGGATATATATATTGCGCAAACAGACATGCTTTGCTATACATGCATTTATAAGTTGCGGAATCGGGACACTTCCCATTAAACTCCCTTCCATAAACCAATTTCAAGTCCGCTCCCAACATAGCTGACACACCCCGTCTCTCTCTCTCTGCCACAGACAAAAAAAACACCCCTAGCTTCTCTCTCTCTCTAGCCACTCTCTCGAGCTGTGATCTGACACTGGTTTTCACTGTGAACCATTTAAAGAGGAAAAATGATTTAGAGCACTAAAAGAAGAGCACTAAAAGAGCATTAAATTGTCCTTTTCCTCTTTGTGTTTTGTCTTTTTCCTCTTTTCTTTCTATTTTAATTTTTACTGTAGAGTGAGAGAGAGTGAGAGAGACGTTGTAATAGAAAAAAAGAAAGAAAAAGAACGTTGCAAAAGAGTAAAGTAAAGAGAGCAACAAATAAGTAGAGATAGAGCAAAGAAGGAGAAGAAGGCGAAGAGGCTTTGGACAGCAATGGCGAGAGGGTTCAGACTCAAATTTGCGACTTCTCTTCTCCTAATGCTTCTGGGTTTGTGCTACATTCCTCATTCTTCATCTCTCTCTCTCAATATATATATAAACACATGTTTATGTATTTATATATGATTGTATTTGTGTATATGTATGGATTTTGTGAGCATTTTATTGTTTTGGGCATCTGATTTGATCTTAATTTGTTGGTATCAGCATCTGATTTTTAGGGGAAGCTTATCATTGTTGAACAGAGTATGGAACTAATGTTAATGTTTTCTCGTTCACAATCTCAATCTGCTCTGTTTTGTGCCTAAAATCATCTTTTTTGGAACTTTGTGTTCCTCATTTCTACATTGTTGCTTTCTGGGTTCTTCTTTCACTGTACATACATTAGACTTATACATACATACATACATACATACATACATATGTGTGGTTGGTTGGGAGTGATGATAGTACATACATCTATGCATGTATAGAGAAGTTATTTTGGGGGTCTTGGACCAATGTTTCACACCATTTATGCTGTGACACTTGTCTTGTTGTCTCTCAAAAATCAACCATAATGGAAAAAGTCATGGGTCCCCGTATTTAAACCAATGGAAATGGAAGTAAAAATCAAGTTGGGTACCACATGCACTCGACTTAAGAGCACTATATAATTTTCCATATGTATAGCCCCTACTTTACTCTTTGAAAAGGACAGGCTCAGTGCACGAGACTCTCGCAACTGTGGGGTCTGGTACAAAGCTTACCCACATATGGTATGGAGAAGCTATTTCCGTGGTTTGAACCATGACGCCCAGGTCATGATGGGAAAAAGCCATATGTGTGTATGTATATGACCTATCATATTTAAAAAAAAAATAGCGTCACTTATCATGTCATATGGAAAACAAGGTGAAGAGTGTGGTGAAATATTGCGGAGAATATATAACAGCCTTCAAAAAAAAAAAAAAAAAAGATTCAATGCTCAATATTATGTGTATTACTTGCATATTCAATAGTGTAAATACTAAATTTGAACTTCAAAAAAATGACTTTAACACATCTATTTACATCATTATCAATTAGGTAGGATCTGGACATATTGGACAGCAAAGTGCATTAATTGAGGTTGCATATTTCAGACCCTAATAATTGTCCATGATGTGTATGCTGCAGCACATCTAAGTGCCAGTCCATCAATTTATGTGTTTGATTATCAAAGCCTCGTCTTATACTAATTTTTAGACTTTTCTTCTGATTGATATTCAAAGTCTGGTTTTTTAAATTAAAAAATTAGCTGTTGTCGTGTAACAAACTAACAATTTCTCACCTGATTGCATAAAAAGACACATCGTGACATTTTTCTTTGTGGCATTTTTGTTCCTTTGTGTAGTTTTGTTGGTGTTTCTCTAAGTGGTTATTTAATTTCAAAGGGGTGTTAACCTTAATAATCAGCAGTGTGGTGGTGGGTGGAGGAGGAAGGGCTAGGGTTAGATTCTTTATATTGATTCGAGGAAGAAGATGAAGACAAGGGACATACCCTATGGAGGTGAAATGTTGGCATGTTATCAAAGCTTTAATACAAACAATAGCAATAGATATAATATAACACAAACTAAACAAAACTAAACCTTTGTCCTAATCAAGTGGGCAACTACATGAATCATTTTTCGTCATTTCGCTCCATCAAGGGCTCTATGCATTCAAATAGCAATAGATATTAGGGGTGGGCAACGGTTTATCCGAACCGCTCAAACCGCCCAATCCGCCCAACCCGCATATAAATGGGCGGTTTCGCAAACATAATGCGGGCGGATGCGGTTTGAAATATGACAAATTTGCTCAATTTTATGTACTTTTCAGTTTTCAACATAGTATCTAGATGTCGAGACATTTATAGTGCTTGAAGAGGTAGGATATAGATTACATTCTCTGCCACTTGTTTATTTTTACTTTTATTCTTTTGGGACAAAGCATTATCAAATAGGTATATTTTGGAAATCATTACATTTGCAGATGTAGTTTATTGCTTTAGGGCATGTATAGAAACCACGCTTTTGTCATCTCTCTCTCTCTCTCTCTCATTATGATATTAAAATTCCTTTATGCTCTATAGATATATTGATGCATACAATTCTTTACAATGCAGATATCTGCAAGGGAAGCAAAGTTGGAGTTTGCTATGGAAGAAATGCCAATGATACCCAATCCCCAAAAACCCTAATATGAAGCACAAGTAGTACCAGATGGAAAAAAGCAAACGCTAAAACTAATGGCTAAAACAGGATTTGCCCTATTTCTTCCTCCTGTCACTCCTCCCCCTCAATTTCTCTCTCCAAATCTCAATCGCCTCTTTCTCTCTCCTCCTCCATCTTCTCTCTCCTCTTCCTGTAAGCCGCCATATCTCTGTCTACATATATTGATTGGTTTGTTTTCAAGCTAGAATCTCAAGTAATTTCTCTTCATATGTGTGCTGTGTTTGTGTTACCTATCTGTTTTTTGGAATCTATTGCTTTTACACAAGCATAAAAGGCACTAGTTAGTGTTTTTTTGTTACTGTAATTGAACAATGCATGTACTGTTTTTTATTTCTCTATGCCTATGGCACATGATTTTCTCTCGATTCAAAGTTTTTTTTTTTTTTTTTTGCCATCCCCTGTTTTTGTCTGCAGATATTTTTTGGTTAGGATTTTGAGATACTCTAGTTTCTGATGTAGTTTTGAGTTGTTTTATTGAGTAAATATTAAAAAAAAATTCAAATTTGATGACATAAAAATAAATAAAGTAAACCTTGTGTGATATCTAATCTACAGAAATGTATATATGATTTATATATATACATTTTGTGGAATCGGGTATTTGGTTTGGGCAATGTACAGTGGGTGGCTCCTAGAGGTTTTGCTCAAATGCTATCATTTGATTTTCAAGTCTTTGGAAGGTCGAAGAGGGCTAAAGTTCTTTGGAGTATTGTAGTCTTTGCAATCTCCTGGGTCATTTGGTTGGAGAGGAATGGGCGTATTTTTGAAGGAGGATCTAGGGATATAGATTATTTATGGGATAGAGTGTGTTATTTGGCGTCTTTTTGGGCCTCGGCAAGTCCTGTGTTCCGAGGGATTCCTCTTTTTTTGATTGCTTCAAATTGGGTGTCGGTTTGTGCTGTATAGTTGTGTAGTTTTGGTTGTCTTTTGGTGTGGTTGTCTTTTTGGATGTATTTTTTCTTTTTCTTCGTGGAGGATGCCTTATCCTCTCCTCTTTGGCCTTGGGCCTTAATAAAATTTATCTTTTTGTTGCTGATAAAAAAAAAAAGAAATGTATATATGATTTTATTCAGAAAATGTTCTTTCTTCTAACTTTGGACTGCTAATTTTGTTTGTTAATGGTTGTTGTGATAGCTAGGTGAATCATAATTTGATATAGGTTTTTTTTTTTTATATGCTCTGAATTTCTTGTGGATTCTATTCTATTTCGTATGGTAAGATCAAAATTAGTGCTTTTTGTAATTTTGTGTAGTTATTGTGAAACTAGACGGATAATCTGAGAGCAACATCTAGAAGATTATTATTGACAACAAAGGTCCAGACAGTATCAACTATGGCAACCGTAAGTTGATCTAACTTGCATATGCATTCTAATATATGTATATATACAGTCAGTATCCGAATATGGAAAATGGAAAATGGAAAATTGTAGTTGGTATTCTTCATATATGTTATGTTGTAGCATAACTGAGTTGTTTTTCAATATAATGCTTTTTGGATATATACAGTCAATATTTGAATATGGAAAATGGAAAATGGAAAATGGAAAATTGTAGTTGGTATTCTTCATATAGGTTGTGTTGTAGCATAACTGAGTTGTTTTTCAATATAATGCTTTTTGGGACAGAATGAAGAACATGTTGGGAGTCTTAAGCAACAGTTAGCAAAACTATTTGAAGCATCCCTTAGAACAACAGTCCCTGATGAGTTGGACGTTGAGCCTCTTGTTGCTGCTTGCAATCCAAGATTTGGTGATTACCAATGGTATTGCTCATTTATGGAAATATGTGAATTGAAATTTTGAGTTTGTCACCTGTAAAATTTCTCAGGGTTTTATAGCAATGGAAACTCTTGTATGCCTTTTTTTTTTAATTGTTAAATTGGGAATTTCTTTTGGTGCAGCAACAATGCCATGAGCTTATGGACAAAAATAAAAGGCAAGGGTTCCGAATTCACAGGTCCCCAACCTATTGGAAAGGTATTGACATTGATCAGTCCATATTCTCTATGTTGTACTTCCTGTCTCTAATAACTTAGTTCATCAGTAATGCTATGATTTTTGTATTCAATATTGAATTGATACTATTAAATGATAGTTTGTGCATTTTTCTTCTTTAAGGCTATTATGAACAATCTACCAAAATCAGAAATGGTAGACAAATGCAGTATAGCTGGACCTGGGTTTGTGAATGTTGTGTTATCAAAGGATTGGATAGCAAAGGTATTAGTTAATTTTTGACAGCAATGGATAGGAATGATAGGATCATGAGCTATCTTGGTATCTTCACTCAGTGTGAATGTCTTGTTTACTAAAACATATTGTTGCTACTGCAGAGCATCCAAAAGATGCTAATAAATGGTATTGAAACATGGTCGCCGAAACTTACAGTCAAAAGGGCAGTGGTTGACTTTTCTTCGCCCAACATTGCTAAAGAGATGCATGTCGGCCACTTGAGATCTACAATTATTGGAGACACTCTAGCCCGTATGCTAGAGTTTTCAAATGTTGAGGTTCTTCGGAGAAACCATGTTGGTGACTGGGGTACACAGGTAAGTGTGTGTGTGTGTGTGTGTGAGCACATGCATTCTGTATATGTGTGTTTGTTTTCTCTCTTTTATCTTGAAATTTTATATAAGTTCTGTTAAAATTATTTAGTTTTTGACGAGGGTTTTAGTCATGGGTTGTCCCATTTTATAAGTTAACTTTTTCATTTGGATCAAAATAATTTCTTGGGTGAACAACAGTAGTTTGAAGTTCTTCAGTGCCTTTTCCTCCCCTAATATGTGGTGGAAGAAGGAACTCCAACAGACCCTTCTTGTATAATTCTATTAAGTGGAAAAATTATACTCTTTTAAATTTTTTATTGATTATTGCTGCTCTAGAAGGTGATAATATTATGGCCTCTTTGCTGTCTGAATTATGAAAGTCGATTTCGATAATTTTTTTGGTACTTTCCTATTATGTCTTAAAGATATTATTTATGTTTTGCAGTTTGGTATGCTAATTGAATTTCTTTTCGAAAAATTTCCAAATGTGGAGGTTGTCAATGATCAAGCTATCGGAGATCTCGAGGTGAGATAAATTTTTTGGAAATTAGGTCAAATTCTTGAATTTTTACAGATAGAATACTTCTTCATGTCACTTGAATATTTTTTATGCTACATTCAAGCAACAAAGTCCCTTGCTTATATTAGCAAGCAATTCAAGTAACTAGTTGCTTGTGCTGCTTTGAGCAACTTATGCCTTTGATTCAGTTTTTTTTCATTGAAATGAATCATGAAATTCAACGAAAGTGGGTATTATTGATTTAACTTGAATGCTGTTGTTAGGCATTCTATAAGGCATCAAAGCAAAGATTTGACAGTGATCCTGGATTCAAGGAGAGGGCACAACAAGCGGTGGTCAGTCTCCAGGTGAATCATTTACCTTTATGCCTTAAAGACTTGTGAGGTTGATTATAGTAATAATTAAATTTCTCATTTGTAAAAGAACTTAAAAGCTATAAATTTCAATTTTCTATTTTGGAGGAAATCTGATTTATATACTATAAATTTTGTTTCTTCGTTTTGGAAGAAAATTTGGTTACTGATTTTATCTTGAGGTTTCATTATGTTTCATCATTTATCTTATTTGGTTTCATTTCCTATGGCATAACTTGTATCACAAGGGTGGGGAAGAGAAGTATCGAAAGGCATGGGCACAAATCTGTGAAATCAGTCGAAGGGGATATCAAAGAGTTTATCAACGCCTAGGGATTAAGATAGAGGAGAAGGTACTTAACTGATATTTTTTTTTCTAACTAATGACAATGTCAAACATTAATTGTATTTTCCACACTAGTTTTCGGCACCATGGAGCCACTTAAAAAAGACACCAACTTTTGATTTCAATCTATAGCGTGCATGCTAAAAATAGAACATTCTTGGTTTATGGTTCACAGCCCCCTGCCCCACCAAGTGTATATTTCATCCGATTCAAATGTATCTGCTTTAAGTCATTGTCATTTTATATTTTGACTCATGTTATTAGGTTGGCCATTTTGTATGACTACTTGAACTGATGCTAGATTGATATCTAAGATGACAATTCTACAAACGCAAAACATTGTTATTTCGTCATCTTAGTTACTTCTTGTATAGCTGTAATAACTAAAAGATTACTTTAAATTAGTGGGCACAAGAACTGTGGCAAGACTAGACTATGAATCTTAGTTGAATTACATTATTGCATATGCAATGAGGACATTAGTATGGTACAGGCTTACAGTATGGGAGGCCAGAGGCCCATAAATGTAATTTATCATTGTTTATTCTTTTTTATTTTGGACTCAAGTAAATTACTCAATTCAATAGAACTAGTATTTTATATGCTAGTTTCAATCAGGAAAATTAAAAGTAAAGATATAGATAGGTGATGGGTTTGAGGTGGCATTTGGTGTTTTAGACAATGATTCCTTTGCAATGGATTTTGAACAATTGTAAAATTGAAACTTTATGGAAAATGTTATACATATATATATATATTTATAATTAATGGATTCTCATTCTTGAATGGTAGATGTGTAAGGAGTGAGGAATGCATCAGAACATGTTCAGGCTAGAGTGACTAAGTTGGTTAATGCTGATTTGTGGTTATGTTAACCATAAAATGTCTCATCAGTATGAAGTCAAAGTTGTGTGTTTGCCCAGTGATATTGTCTTTTGACATTGAGAAATTCTTCTGCTTCACATCTGATACAGGTCAAGTGTTCAGCAGAACAGTACACTATAATGGCATATATCTATATATTTAATGTTTTCTGATAGAGAAATGCTATTTATCACTAGATTTTTTTTTCACCATTTTATTTCACTTCCCATGTTTTCCATGCAATAAAAGCAATGTGTATGGATAGTGTATGTGTAGGATCCACCATATTACAAAATAGTGGGACTTACCATGACCCATGGGAAACACATAGGGGGTGAAGACTTTTTGTGATATATAGCAACTCTCTCTCTCTGATAAGTCTTACATTATGCTTATTCCTGAATTTGATTATTGTTACACATGCTATTCAAAACCCTATTTGGAAGTGAAGTTGCAGGGAGTGTCAGATGGTGGCATGATTTGCCCTTATTTGAATTTCATATGAGCAATGAACATATCGTACTCATGAAATCGACTGTTCTTATGATTGAGTGGCAAAGTCACTTGTAATTATTTTGCTTTTTTTCTTCCTGTCAGGGAGAAAGCTTTTACAATCCATATATACCTGGAGTTTTAGAGGAATTGGACAAGAAAGGATTAATTGAAGAAAGTGAAGGTGCTCGTGTGATCTTTATTGGGGGGAAAAATATACCTTTAATTGTTGTGAAGAAGGATGGTGGTTTAAACTATGCTTCCACTGATCTTGCGGCTCTTTGGTTAGTGTTTTAAAATTTGGAGTTGATTAAAGTGTAAATTATATGACCCTTCTATATGTCATTCATTCTTGCATCTATACTTATCCATGTTTAATCTAGCATCTGATCTGCATGATTTATATAATGCATCTCTCCATGTTTCTTCCTATAAAGATATAAATTATATGATAGAATCATCTTGTGGTTCATGTGATTGAAAAGAGATCTGTTAGATGGAATTTTATGACCCATTTTAAAAGTTTATCTGGGTAATATGTGACTGCTATTAGAACTTAAATGTCATGGTTGGACATGCATTGCTTGTGCACTTTTTGTTGGAGTGGTAGCGGAATGAGTGCATTTCTGTTAAACCAGCTGCTTTCAATAATTAGGTATCGTCTTAATGAAGAAAAAGCTGAGTGGATAATCTATCTTACTGATGTTGGCCAGCGAGAGCACTTTGAAATGTTCTTCACTGTAAGTACCAAATGTCATGTCCTGTGCTTCATGACTTTTCATGCTTTGTAGAGAGATGGGTAACATACCACCATGAGTTTGATGGCCTTCCTTTCTATCGCTCCTTCTATTAGGCTGCGAAACGTGCTGGTTGGCTTCCAGCTGGTGAGAATATGTATCCTAAAACTAACCATGTGGGTTTTGGTCTTGTTCTTGGAGAAGATGGGAAACGATTTCGAACTCGCAGTACTGAAGTGGTTCGATTAGTTGATTTGCTTGATGAAGCAAAGAGTCGCTGTAAAGCAGTTCTTGTAGAACGAGGTATAATAATGAATGATCTGCACTTTAGTTGTTTTCTTATAGCAAGGTAGCGCTTTTTATGTTCCTCATATCTATGAACTCATACATGACATAACATCTCCTCTTTTTGATACATTAGTTAAAACTTAAGTTTTGATATAATCTCTTCAAATCTTGATCAGGTAAAGCTGATGAATGGACAGAGGAGGAGCTTGATCAAACAGCCGAGGCAGTTGGTTATGGGGCTGTTAAGTAAGATCCTCTATCCTCGTTAATTTTTTTACTTGGCAATGTTGACTCTGTTGCTTGTCCTCCTTTTGTATATTTTTCTTCTCTTTTCCATCTTAATAAAATCTTTCTTTTGTTGCTGTTAAAAAAAATGTTGACTGTGTTGCTGTTGTTGGATTTTGTCTTTGTAAACTGACAGTTGCAATGTTTGGGGTAAAACAATTTTGAATATATTATATATGGATGTGGTGTATCCTAAAAAAATTTCTGTGACAATTTGTACACTAAACTGAGTCTAGGGGTATTGATTGGGTTGGATATGGTGATGTATTGTGATATGATTGATAGTACTTATCTTGTTAACTTTTTTGTCTTGGCAGGTATGCCGACCTGCAGAATAACAGATTGACCAATTACACATTTAATTTTGACCAGATGCTTAATGATAAGGTGCATTTAACGATTGCTGTTTTGGCAGCATGCAGTTGAGTTTAGTTGAAGGAGCTACTTTTGTTTTTATAAATATTGGAGGAGTATTTTATCACAGCTTTTGTTTTAGGCATTTAGAACTAGATTGTTTAAGGCCCTATTGAGTTGTCATTGTGTTAGCAAAAATCTGGTTCAGGTCAAATCGACAGAGGAGATTCGACAAAGAAACCAAAATTTTACAAACAAAAAACAGATCAAGCAATTGTGGTTGGTGTTCTATGCCTTGACAGATTCAAGGATTTCTTTGGAGGTTATCAATAGAGAGAAACAAACTCAAAACTGATATTGTATTGCTGAAATTGTTACTTTTTACAAAGATTTGAACAAGAATAAAAAACAAAAATATAAAAAAACTAGAAAAAAGTTTACTGATTACAAGAACCAAAAAACCATCACAGAAACACTAAATTAAAACTACTCATTGAGAGAATAAACTACTCCTAGATATGTTAAAGTAATCTACTCCTAATTGAACTCATATAGAGTGTTGATGATTGATTTTTGTTCCTCCTTTCTTGCTTCCTCCTTAAGCCTATTTATAGGCTTTTGTCCACGATTTCCATTGCTCAACAACTGCTATAGGCAGTTTCTTTACCCATTTGAGTCCATGTGTTTCCATCATTTTAGCCACTTTCTTTTGCTCTTTCAAAGATTATTTCCTTCTTTCTAGCCATTTCCTTAACTGCTCATAACTGTCTGTAATTGCATCCAACTCTCTTTTCTACCCCTACACACTTCAATTTGAAACCCAAGACTTGCCAAGATCACCACCAAATTTCTGTCGACATACAACTTTAGAAAATAGGTATAAACAGCCAGCATTACAATAAAACAAACAACAACAACAACAACAACAACAATAATAATAATATAAAATATAAATATATATGTGGCCATACTTTTATATTAAAATACTTTATGGTTTGATTCGACAGACCATCGATAGACCAAAATCGACTGGTCACAACCAATGAGATTAAATTTGGCCATAATCGACAAGCCATAATCAATTAAATAGGATTTGGCCATAATCAAAAAGTCATAATCTACAGATATTTATTTTTTGGTGTCAACAATGCCCCCCTCATTTAAGGTAAAAATGAATTTTTCCTTAAATGAGATAAAGGACAAAAATTTAGGACAATCCATATTTACTAAAATTCATAAATTATTTTGGCCATAATTGACAGGCTACAATCGCTGGAAACTAATTTATAATGCAAACAATGCCCTCCAACTCTTAAAAATGAGTTCACTCAAATTTTTGAAGAGTTCTATAACCATTTTATCGAAATAGACATTATTGGGGAAATTAAAAAATTTCTAATTTATGTCCAATTGACAGTATCAATGCACATTTGCAGCATTTTCATCTTCAAAACAGACCTGTGCACATTCATTCATGGCCTTGCAAACACTTATCTTCTTTTATTATTTTCATTGGCTAATACTACATGAACCTACTATACCTTTATTGGCCATACTTAGCCAAATAACCATCGTTAATTATGCATTACATGCAATCAACAGAAAAATGTTCTCTAACAATTGTTGTTTTGTTAACCATTTCATTAAAATTGAGTTTTGGTGTGATCCACAAATCCAAAATAAATTTTGAACATCAAAAGCCATAGTATAAATTGGCTTTAAAACTTCATATATTTCATCATTTTGAATGATAACAAAAATGTTGAATTCATTAACAGTTGATTGTTCATCAATTTTAGCCATGTTTCGCTCAAAAACTTGCTTTTCTCCCTAATGATTTTTGTCTTCTTTTGCCAAAAAGGATTGTTGCTCATCATTGTTTTGTTGATAATTTTCAGCCATATTTGGCTTAAAATTATCCCCCCCATGTTCATAATTTTTAGCCATCTTTGGCTTAAAATTATGCTCCCCAAGTAAATCTTCACCATCATTTTGTGATAGATTTTTAACATCTTTCAGGAGAATGGGCTGTTTTTTAATTTTAGCCATTAATGGCCTATGAAAACTATCCAAAGTTATGTTATCTTCATGATTTGGTGTGTTCATCCCACGAGCCATATTATTTTCATACCTTGGCTCTTCATGAATAATGGTTTGCATTTTGTGAGCCAACTTGAAATTAAAGATGGCATTTAGTTCTTCAAACAATTCTTGCTTTTCATGTGGAAGCATGCTTTCCAATAATTGCTCCATTCGAAGAAAAAGAGCATTTTTTATTTTTATGAATGAGCCACTAGTTTGGCCCAAGTCTGAATCTCCATGCATATCCGTTTGCTCCTTCTTCGTCATCACTCCAAATTAGACAGGTCCCACTAGGTGTGCCAAAATATGTTAGCAAAAATCTGGTTCAAGTCAAATCGACAGAGGAGATTCAACAAAGAAACCAAAATCTTACAATCAAAAAACAGATCAAGCAACTGTGGTTAGTGTCCTATGCCTTGACAGATTCAAAGACTTCTTTGGAGGTTATCGATAGAGAGAAACAAACTAAAAACTGATATTGTATTACTGAAATTGTTACTTGTTACAAAGATTTGAACAAGAACAAAAAACAAAAATACAAAAAGAACTAGAAAAAAGTTTACTGATTACAAGAACCAGAAAACTATCACAGAAATACTAAATTAAAACTACTCTTATAGAGAATAAACTACTCCTAGATATGTTAAAAGTAATCTACTCCTAATTGAACTCATATAGAGTGTTGATGATTGATTTTGTTCCTCCTTTCTTGCTTCCTCCTTGAGCCTATTTATAGGCTTTTGTCCACGATTTCCATTGCTCAACAATTGCTATTGGCAGTTTCTTTACCCATTTGAGTCCATGTGTTCCCATCATTTTAGCCACTTTCTTTTGCTCTTTCAAAGATTATTTCCTTCTTTCTAGCCGTTTCCTTAACTGCTCATAACTATCTATAATTGCTTCCAACTCTTTTCTACCCCCACACACTTTAACTTGAAACCCAAGACTTGCCAAGATCACCACCAAATTTCTGTTGGCATACAACTTTAGAAAATAGGTACAAACAACCTACATTACACCAAAATATGTTAGCAAAAATCTGGTTTAGGTCAAATTGACAGAGGAGATTCGACAAAGAAATCAAAATTTTACAAACAAAAAACAGATTAAGCAACTGTGGTTGGTGTTCTATGCTTTGACAGATTCAAGGACTTCTTTGGAGGTTATCGATAGAGAGAAACAAACTAAAAATTAATATTGTATTTCTGAAATTGTTATTTGTTACAAAGATTTGAACAAGAACAAAAAAAAACAAAAATACAAAAGAGCAAGAAAAAAGTTTAATGCTTACAAGAACCAGAAAACCATCACAGAAACACTAAATTAAAACTACTCCTAGAGAGAATAAACTACTCCTATGATATGTTAAAGTAATCGACTCCTAATTGAACTCAGATTGAGTGTTGATTGATTTTTGTTCCCCCTTTCTTGCTTCCTCCTTGAGCCTATATATAGGCTTTTGTCCACGATTTCCATTGCTCAACAACTGCTATAGGCAGTTTCTTTACGCATTTGAGTCCATGTGTTCCCATCATTTTAGCCACTTTCTTTTGCTCTTTCAAAGATTATTTCCTTCTTTCTAGCCATTTCCTTAACTGCTCATAACTGTCTATAATTGCTTCCAACTCTCTTTTCTACCCCCACACACTTCAACTTGAAACCCAAGACTTGCCAAGATCACCACCAAATTTCTGTCGACATACAACTTTAGAAAATAGGTACAAACAACCTGCATTACAATAAAACAAACAAAAACAATAATAATAATAATAATAATAATAATAATAATAATAATAATAATAATAATAATAATATATGTGGCCATACTTTTATATTTAAATACTTAATGGTTTGAGTCGACAGACCAAAATCGACTGGTCACAACCAATGAGGCTAGATTTGGCCATAATCGACAAGCCATAATCAATTAAATAGGATTTGGCCATAATCAAAAAGTCAAAATCGATAGATATTTATTTTTTGTCAACACATTGTCATTCTTGTTTTTCGTGTACATTGTCATTCTCAAATTATAATAATGCTGCAACACTGTTACTGTGACTATTCCATTCATTTCTTACTTGTCAAACTTATTGATGAGCAGGGAAATACTGCTGTCTATTTGCTGTATGCGCATGCTAGACTATGTTCTATCATCAGGAAATCTGGTAAAAACATAGAGGAATTGAGAAAGGTAAGATCTCTTCCATCTTGAAGCAGTTATAACTGAAATCTTTGTTGCATTCCATCCTTCATGTGCATTTATTTATTAATTTCTTGAAGTGACTTAGTCTTTCTCAGACATGCTAAAGCTTGGTCTTTTCTTTTTTTTTCTTCTGTAAGCTTGCTAAAGAGACAGGTCATAGCCTATGTTTACATGTGTATATAAAGATTATAACCCTAATTTCTGCTGTTTATGGTTCTGTTGTTATTATATATATGTATATTTATCTATTGAAAAGGCCATTTCTCTTTGACATTTTCTTATGATACCTGGTGTGGGTAGCTAGTTCTGTATATTCTCCTCGGATTTTTTGGGGGACTATTTTAGTATGATTTCTTGTTTGAGTATTAACTAGAACTATTGCACAATGACTATGGAGAGAACTCTGAAACCATAGTTCTAGAATATTTTGGCAATTGTAGGCTTTTGTGCCTCTTTGGATTTTTCTACATCTTTGTGTAAATTTATCAAGGTATTTTGTTTTTGTACGTCACTTACCCTGTATGATAAAAAAACAATTTCACTACTTTAGGTACTATAATCCTCTTCTCTTCCCTCTCTTTTCTTTTATGTTTCTCTTCACCCCCTTTTCTTATTTTGTTTTTTTCTTTTGAGACAGACTGGAACAATAGTCTTGGCCCATCCAGATGAGCGTGCCTTAGGGCTTCATTTGCTCCAATTTGCTGAGGTAAGAGATGCATTCAAGAAATAACTGTCCCGTGCAGGTTTTCTATCTTTGATTGCACATTAGTTACATAGCTTACAGATGATGCTTGTAGTTATGATGGATGTTTATACATATGCTCTTTCACTTTTCAGATTGTGGAGGAAGCTTGCACTAATCTCTTACCCAATGTATTGTGTGAATACTTATACAACTTATCTGAGTTCTTCACAAGATTTTATTCAAATTGTCAGGTATGAGATTTACATCTAATTGTTCTTTCTTTGTTAATATGTACCAAGTATAAACCCCAAGGGTTTGGCCTGGTAGCAATGCCTTGGGTCATGGGGGTGTACTCTCTCAAAGGTTTAAACCTCTTAGATGCTAACAATTCTTTTGGGTCATTAGATTGGGAGAAAACCTTTGAATTTACTGTGGGGCGCTTGTGGAAAACTCCTTGCTGAGGGTTTGTGCACCCATAGGGATTAGTCGGGTTTTGATCCGATATCTCCAGTGCCAATCGAAAAAATATATATACCAAGTATAAATTAGATATTCTTGAGAAGCATGACTCTTCCTGACACTTGAGTTGAGAACATATATCCATACGTATCCTATTATTTATATTTTATTAGACCACGACAAGCTTTGGACATTTGGAGGACACACATATCCATCACTAGGAGGGGCTGCCGGGGGGAGATGGTTGAGCCAAACCAGTAATGTAGGGAGGCAAGGCAGGATGTGTCAAGGTGGGAAGGGAATGGGGATAAGGCGACAGGGCTCGGGAGGGGGATGGCAGTGGCGGCAGGTGACGGATAGGTGAGGGTTAAGGTTTGAAAATTGGAAAAGAAGAGGGTATTTTGGTATTATTTGAAAATTGATGATGTAAATTGATCAAAAACTTAAAAAATTTAAATTGGGTGTGGTGTGAACTTAGAAGATGGTGTGTTCTAAGATGAATGATGGTGTTCAAATAGAAGCTCCCAAGTGGTCCTTGTACTCCAAAACAATTAACAAGCGCGTTTTTATGGACTCAACAAAGTTGAGCATTGCCCCAAACAAGACCAACAAGTGGTTTTATTGGCAATTTTTGTTTACTACATACTCTCGTTTTTGGAAATAATAATGTTTGTTGCTTACCAATGCAAACATATCAAGGAAACAGTACTTGATAATTTGAATCAAGAATGAAGTGATTAAACCCAAAAATTCAATCTATAACCAATATGTGGAAAGAAACATTGCTGATAATAGTGCTTCTTGGCTTGAGAGTCGCCTTCTTATAGTTTTATATAGTTGGATGGAACAGAAGTTTGATCCAGATTTGTTTGTTTTTTTAGATTTCTTAGATGACATTCTTGGATAGGAGTTGGTAAGTATCCTTTTGAAGTTTTTGTATTTTTGCATCATCTTGATGCTCTTTCAATAAAATTTATTTATTTATCAAAAAAATAATAATAATTACAGGCTAAAAGTGGCAGTGGCCATGAAATGCATAGTCTCTATAAAGATCTTTAATGACATCAAATCAATACCAATAGCCAATAGAAATAGGATTCTTTCTTTGAGTCTAGGACTAGTCAGGATACTTTAAAAAGTATTCTCTCTCTCTCTCTCTCTCATTATGCAGTGTCAAAAGCCATTAATATGTGGCCTTATCTTTTAATTGCAGTACATGTTAGATTTATCTGTTTGTCGTGATTATGCTTGATTGGATTTAGATGGTTGGGTGACTGCTTTACAATGAAGAAACTAATGTGCATATTCAGACGGGTTAGAGAACACCTGGTCAACTATGCAATCACTATCCTAGCTATAAAGAAGACCATAGGCACCTAATTGCTGCCCAGATACAACATCACGAGGCTGATTCGTGAGAAAGCTGACACTAGTTTGATTTTACACATTTAAGTTTGAGGTGGATTTTGCCTCTAGGAGTGGGATTATGGGTTCATCTATGTCTATATATATATATATATTTTTTGTTAGCTTGCTAGGGAAAATCAGAATTCCCACCCCAGAACTAGAAATAACAAAAGATAATAAATAGAAAGGTCAACACTTGAATATTGTGTTTATTATTTTATCAAAGAAAGCAATTTTTTCTTAAAAGAATTGTGTAAAATGAAAATTTCTTATTCTATGGATCATAAGAGTGAAAATAATTTCAAATCATATTGACTAGTCTGAAACAGTATGTAATGGAAATAATTTATTTTATATCATAAATGAAAATATCTGGAAAGGATGAAAAGATGCCCCTATTGTTGTGGGTAGTAATTGAACAGGTTGGTTTGGCAACATCCTTGTGGATGGATTTCATGATTTTAAAATTTTGGGCAGGTTGTTGGATCAACAGAGGAGACGAGCAGGCTCTTGTTATGTGAAGCGACTGCAGTGGTCATGCGGAAATGCTTCTATTTACTTGGTATTGTACCCGTGTACAAGATATGACATTTCAGGATGAGATTCGTTGAGCCAAGTATTTACGGTTCTTTGATAATTTTAGTTTGGGCAAGCAACTATAGATTTTATACACATTGTATTAGCATTATAAGAGGCAAAAGATTGCTGCGCCCATTCAGTCAAATGTCACTAAGATCTTTGATATTTTGTAATTTTTATTTCATGTTGTGTTGACGGCTTATATTTTGAATAGAAAAAACATGTTGCTTTCTCAATGTGTCAAAATTTGGATTGTGACTCTCTCGGGTCTGGATACAGAAAGGAGTTAGAAACGGCCGTGAGCCATGAATTAGGCACACACAACAGAGCGCACAAAAACGTGAGCAGCCTCATTCTGGTTTGATGATTTTTTTTTTTTTTTAATTGATTATTTTTTTTTTTTTTTTAATTTTTTGTTTTCCAAAATGAAAATGATATCGGTTTTCCTTGGGACTGTGCAAAAATCGGTTCAAACCAGTAATTCGGACTGAACCAGACCGAATCATACGGTTCGATTTGGTTCGGTTCTATTAAGAATTGGTTCGGTTTCGGATTAAGAAATATGAGAATCGTAAAAACGGTTCCGTTAATGGATTTTATGAAAAAATTGCGGTTCGAACCAAACCGAACCGAATTTTAAAAGATATATATATATATATATAGTTTTCCATAGGACTGTGCAAAAATCCGTTCAAACCGGTAATTCGAACTGAACCAGACCGAATCATACGGTTCGGTTTGGTTCGGTTCTATTAAGAATTGGTTCGATTTCGGATTAAGAAATATGAGAATCGTAAAAACGGTTCGGTTAATGGATTTTATGAAAAAATTGCGGTTCGAACCAAACCGAACCGAATTTTAAAAGATATATATATATATATATAATATCAAGTTTTATTTTTATTAATTGATTTTTTATAATTTAAATGATATTATGATGGTATATATATGTAATATTAAGTAATGCCTTAATATTATTAGTTTTTATCATGAGTTAAATGTAATTAGTGAGTAATTATTTTGCTAATATTAAAATTTATTCTTGTAAATAGAAATTTTTGAAACCGTAAATCAAATCGAAACCGAATCGTTTTTTCGGTTTGGTTCTGGTCCGATTTTACAAGTGTAACGGTCTAGTCTGGTTCTCAAAATCACAGAATCGTTAGGATCGATTCGGTCTTTGAATTTTCTCAGAACCGAATCAATCCGGACCGTGTACACCCCTAGTTTCCACATGAGCAATGCTGCAGCCTGCAGGAGTGGGTTCTTGTTCTACGTTGAACAGTTTTATATTGGGGGTGGTTTTCTCCTTTTGATGGTTATCAATGAATTGTTATTTATTTTATGGGTAATTAAACAAAAAATAAAAGAAGGATTTGTTACTAATATCTGTTTTACTTTTTATCATTTTTTTAACCCAATAAAATGATTACATATAAAATAACTTGTTTTGCTTCTCTTTCTCTCCCCCTCTCTCTCTCTCTCTCTCTCTCTCTCTCTCTCAATTCATATGGAGCGATTCAAGGTATTTCTATCAGAAGCAACTGAATTTTACCAAGATTTGATCACAAAACTCAGAAGACGTTATGAGCTACCTGAAGATCCTTTGTTTTATGAAAACCATGACATCTCATGTGTTGTTGACCCTGCAAAATTGCGAAAGTGTCAATTTTCATGCCATCGCTTTTTAGTTTGTCTTGGCGATCTAGCTAGATACAGGGAACTGTGTAAGAAGCTTGATTTTCCAAGACATGACTGGTCAGTTGCAGCAACCTACTACTTTAAAGCAACATTAGTTTGGCCAGATAGTGGGAACCCCCAAAATCAGGTATTTCATTCTATATCACGCTCTACTCAGCTCAGGATCTTATTATGGGTTTGTTTGGTTGTCTCTTCACTTATTTAATTGTTTTTGTTGTTGCTTTTTTTTTTTTTTTTTTTTTTTTTTAATTTTTTGTTTTCCAAAATGAAAATGATATCGGTTTTCCTTGGGACTGTGCAAAAATCGGTTCAAACCAGTAATTCGGACTGAACCAGACCGAATCATACGGTTCGATTTGGTTCGGTTCTATTAAGAATTGGTTCGGTTTCGGATTAAGAAATATGAGAATCGTAAAAACGGTTCCGTTAATGGATTTTATGAAAAAATTGCGGTTCGAACCAAACCGAACCGAATTTTAAAAGATATATATATATATATATATAATATCAAGTTTTATTTTTATTAATTGATTTTTTATAATTTTAATGATATTAGGATGGTATATATATGTAATATTAAGTAATGCCTTAATATTATTAGTTTTTATCATGAGTTAAATGTAATTAGTGAGTAATTATTTTGCTAATATTAAAATTTATTCTTGTAAATAGAAATTTTTGAAACCGTAAACCAAACCGAAACCGAATCGTTTTTTCGGTTTGGTTCTGGTCCGATTTTACAAGTGTAACGGTCTAATCTGGTTCTCAAAATCACAGAATCGTTAGGATCGGTTCGGTCTTTGAATTTTCTCAGAACCGAATCAATCCGGACCGTGTACACCCCTAGTTTCCATATGAGCAATGCTGCAGCCTGCAGGAGTGGGTTCTTGTTCTGCGTTGAACAGTTTTATATTGGGGGTGGTTTTCTCCTTTTGATGGTTATCAATGAATTGTTATTTATTTTATGGGTAATTAAACAAAAAATAAAAGAAGGATTTGTTACTAATATCTGTTTTACTTTTTATCATTTTTTTAACCCAATAAAAAGATTACATATAAAATAACTTGTTTTACTTCTCTCTCTCTCTCTCTCTCTCTCTCTCTCTCTCTCTCTCTCTCTCTCTCAATTCAACATCAGTATATAGCTAAAGATATATATTTATATATATGCATGTATACATTGTGCATTATTTCGAAAAGGTAATAATATTCGTACTGTTTGGATGTAATCATTTGAAAAGAAATGATAAGAAAGAGAAGCTGGTTGGTAATATATTTTTGGTAATACCAAAGTTGCTCATAAAAATACACGTTAAAAAAAAAAAGAAAAAAAAAGTTGCTCATAAAAATACAAAGAACAAAAAATAAATCTTACATCTGTATTGCATTTTCATATACTTTACTTCTATATTCATTCAAACATGAGTTTCTTTTGTTTTCTCAAGTGGAGAGAGATTTATTTGGTTTTGAAGTTTCAAATATAGTTTGAGTTGTTTGTTTTTCATATTTTTTTTTATTAAACTATTTTTAATATTTTAATCGATTTTTTTTTTTAAACGTTTAGATCCACTTAATTCATATACACTTAAAAAATAAAATATTTTTGAATTTTTTTTAAAAAATCAAATAAAATAAAAAAACAAAAACAAAAACAAAACAAAACAAAAGTTTGGTACAATTTTATTTTTTTTTTTGTATTTTTTATTTTTTAAAAATAATTTTTTCATAAATATTTTACTTTTTAAGTGCATTTCGATTAGGTACATTAAAAAATAAAATAAAAAAGTAACTAGAATATGAAAGGAAACTACTAAAAATAATAAAATATGAAAAAACAAAAATTATATTTGATGAGTCAAAATAATTTTTTTTTTTCTAGCGTCTCACATTCTCCATGTGAAAGAATAAAAATTCAAAAAAGAGAGTGAGGCGAAAAATGAAATGTGAATATCATTAATTATTTTTTCTAAAGTAACAAGTGAAACAAATAAGTGCTTTAATCTTATTGATGATTCATATATTAGTACTTCTACTAGCTCCATTTTGCATGATTGGTTCAATTTTATATTAGAAATATCCTAAAATGATATTATGGCAAAAAATAATTATGGTAGATTAGAGCTAATGCACTTTGTGAGGGAAGATAAAGAATAATTAATTAATAAGAGAGATATTTTTGTTTTTTAAAGATTTTTTTTTTGTTTTGGGGGGAGGGGGAGGGGAGGGCTCATATGTATTATCAACTGTACGATGCAGTTTTATTTTTATTTTTTTGGTTTGTGTATGTGTGTGTGTGTTTTTGGTTGTAGAACATAGAAAACCATCATTGATCATAAGAAGTTTACAAATTTAGCCAATACATGAGCTGGTTTATTATAGAGCGATTTAAAAATCTCAAAATATAAGAATCTTAGGATATGATTGTGCAATCAAGGATCATTTGTCCTAAGATTTGTATAATTCTGTTCCAATGCATTTTCAGTTGTAGATCATATGAAGGAGGAGGTCATTGGTCAGTCCAAAGGAAGTCATTTTGGCCACTATGACTCTCTTACGAGCTTAGTCTAAAGGAGAATGTCATGCGATCAACTCTTCCCAAAGAAGAGTTATAGAGGCAAGCACTTAAGGTGTGTTTGATTGAGGGAATAAGGAGGGGGATTATTTACTGGGGGCATTTCCCTAAATAAGCCAAAATAAGAAGGGAATTCCCAAACTAAGCCTAGTTTTGAAAGATTTCCCAAAATGAGCTAACTCGCGGTTCACAATCGCGAGTTCAAGACTTTTGCCACCCCGTCGCCTGAAATCAGTAAAAGTTTAAACTCGCTGTTAGGAAAAGCGAGTTTAATTAAGAACTCGCTGTTAGAAAACGCGAGTTTGATCAAATTTCTTTCCTTTGAACTCGCTATTTACAAGCACGAGTTTATTTGAAATCGCTGTTCGTAAGCACGAGTTTAGCACAAAAATTTTTTGCTGAAATCGCTCTTTGGAAACACGATTTAATCACAACTCGCTGTTTGTAAGCACGAGTTTAGCCAAAAAAATTTCTAATGAACTCGCTCTTTGTAACCACGAGTTCATCACGTTTTATGAAAAAAAAATTTCATCTCACTTTTTAGAACCACGGTTTTTTACCAAATTTTTTTATGAACCATGCTTTTAGCGTAATTTTTTTTTAATTTCAATTTTATTGAACTTTAAAGAAAAAATTTTCATTCTTTTGTTTATGTTGTCATTGTTTTGGTGATAATATATTTCAGAATAATTTTTTTGGTTAAAATTCTTTTACTAAAACCGTCCTCATATTAATTTTTTTTTCTTTCCTTTTGTATAAAATGAAATAAATTTTTATTTAATCTAGCTAAAAATAATTAAAATATTAAAGATATGTTTAATATTGCTATTACTTAGTAAACAATTGACAAAGGGTAAAATAGTCTTTTGTTCATTTATCATATCCAGTCCGTCTAACCAAACGCTAGATTCATTAAAAATAGTCCTTTCCAGACATCTAATCCCATGAAAAAACAAACATAAG